CACAAATGCATTGGCCTCTAAAGTTTTGCCGCCTATGTCAATACTAAGGTTCTTGGCCAAAGAGTGTGTTACTATCTTCCTCCCTGAGGCTAGACTGATCTCAAGGGGGTCAACAATATTCACTCCTTGAACCTTTACCACTTCTAGACACTTATTTGAGACGAATGAATGAGTCGCCCCAGTGTCAAATAAGGCAAAGACTGGTACGTTGAATAATAAAATCATTCCAGAAATCATACCTGGCTGCTCGGCTACCTCCGTCTGGTTAAGTGCAAAGATATGTGCAGGTCCACCTTGTGGTTCATTCTAAGCTGGCTGACGCTGACCTTGCTGGTTCTGAAAACGATCTGGGCACTCACGGATTCCGTGACCAGGTTTACGGCAATGATAGCACACATTTTGTCCAGCCAAGCACTCCCCACGATGATTCTTGCCGCAGGTGGCACATGGTGGTGCAAACTGATGAATAGGCTGCACAGCGTGAACTGGGACTGGTGTTGGTTCGGTTGCGGGAAATCTCTGTTTATTATTTGGATCTTTACGACCCTTCCACTTTCTCTTGTGGTTGGGTCGTTGTGCCTGCTGAGGTTGCACCTGCTGTGGCGGCGCTGGCTGTAGTGGAGTTGGCAGAGCTGGTAATGCCAATGGCTGGACTGGCTGCCTGACTGGCACACCAACTCGACTGGCCTCCACCATCATGCTCTCGGCCATCTGCTGGGCTTGAGAGACTGTCTCAGCATATGACATGGCACCCATGGCATTGATGATATGACGGATCTCTCCATGTAAGACTCCTCGAAAACGCCTCATCCTCTTTTAAACCGTGTCAATAAGATATGGCACGAAGAAGCCGAGTCGAGTGAACTCTCGCTCGTACTCGTCAACGGTCCGTCCACCTTGCTCCAAACTCAGGAACAACCTCTCCATCCGATCCCAGTAGTGATCAGGATAGTACTTCTCCCGAACTATCTCCTTCATCCGTTCCCATGTAAGATTTATCTTCTCCCCAGGCCTCATAGCCCAGTAAGCGGTCCACCAAAGTCCAGCATCCCCTGTCAACTGGAGAACTGTGCGACTAGCTGCCCCTGACTTGGCTCGGAAGCTACTAGAGGGGCTGCGACTAGCTGGACTGGAGTATTTCTGCGATTAGCCATCTGAATGGCCAGTTGCTGGTTAGCCCTTGAAGGAGTTTGCTTAGAAAAGATGAAATATTTAACAACTTAATAGTTTTCAGATTTCCTGACAAGTCGTTGACATACAACTTAACTTATCTAGAGTTTTCATTCTCATATGAGGATAGCTTTCTAAGCCTCTAAAATTCTCATACTGAATAAAGCACTTGCAAAAATAAAGACATGGTTAGGTGACTTACCTCGGAGTCAGCGCGGGGGTGAGCGTGGTGAGGTTACTTCACTAACTCTTGGTTTACAGAACCGCTAACTGGGCTCTGATACCAAACTGTAACATCCCACCTTGAAAAAAAATCTGTCTAAAATTTTCGTGACTTCTTTTGAAAATTTAAACTTAACTTTCGGGATGTTACTTACTTACTAACTCAACTTCTTACTCACTCTTTCTTTTACTCATAAATGTATCCATAAAAAAAATCTAACTGGATAATATGAATAAGGAATAATTATACATAGAATAATTATACATAAAATAATTATACATACATACTTAATGGTTCTGGTTGATCAGTACGGAAACGAAATTATAATATAGTTGTATATAGTTTAATACAAACCAACTTAACTTAAACAGAAACATAATAAATATCCAGCTTTATTTGAACATCACCACACCACTGCTCGACTCACGCTCCATGCTGAACTCCATCACCTGAAAAAACATAATGGGGGTGTGAGCAAAACCACTATGCTCCGTAAAAACCAACACTGAATAAACAGCACATATATTCCCATATCATGAACTAAGTATATACATAAATAAATCTTTACTGTAACTGGTGCAACATCCGGAAACTGGCCGGATTATCATGTGATCACACTCTGGGGGTCGCCTCCCATAGAACCCAGGATGGGAAAAACTTCCATACAAGACCGGGTGATCATAAACTTATCATAACTGGACCACAAACGGTATAACTCACTCGTTCGGGTAAATATCTACATACATACCTCATACATGGTACAAGATTATAAGCAATGTAATACCCAGTGTAGGTCCCCCACCTGATATGTTGAAAAGACTTTGCAAGTGCTGAATAACTGATGTAGCTGTTGGAGGCTCGACTCTCCACAACTACCACATATACAAACAAATATATCTAAGTATATTTTTCTAAAAATCACAGATATCTCTAAAAATTATTAAACTTGATAATTAAATAGTAGATATATTTATATGTTCTCTTATAAAATTTTATATCAAAAGCACTTCAATATCTCAATCCACCCAAATATTAAAAATTTGCATATAATTATGATAATTTTACGCCTAACTTCAAAGAATTTTATAAATTCACATACTTATCATATCATACTGAAACTTGGTCATCATTACAAATACTCATACAAGAAATATTCATAAAAGTTTTACATTAAAAACTTGAATGTGGAGTGAGTTCTATCACATATAAAATCAACCTGACAGACATGAGGTTTAGCATTTTTAACTCCTTCATTTTTTAACATAAAATTCTGAAATTTTACAGGTAAACTCTCAACATATAAGTATACATGTCATTAAAATTTCACATATTTCTCATGCATATATATGTACTTATTCGAGTTCAAAATATACAGCTGAAACATAGCATAAAAATTCGATTTACATGATAAACTTCAAAAACATAAAACTCGAGTTATACTTAACCAAATAACATGATTCTTTTTCCTATGTACTCCTAATTTACATAAAAAATACCTATTTAAATTTTACTTTCCCAGTATATGTGTAACATGCTAAAATTCAAATCAAAACAGGCCATATATAACATGTGATTGAGCTGAAAATAACATATCATTTTTCATGCTTAAAATTTCTTAAAATTTAAATATGTATGACATGTAAAATACATAATTATACACTTAATCTCAACTAAGCACATGATAAAAATTTAGCATCTAACCTCCTTCAAGAAATTTGAAAATGAAACTCCGGAAGTTGATCTCGACCTATCTTCAGCAAGATTACTCTCGGTTTTTTCTTCCTCACTCTATAGCTAAGACTTTACTTATTTTGGTGTGATTTTCGATTCTAAGATGATGCCCCTTTATATAGAGGAGCAAAGGAGACAACATCACCTTCTTTACATAAATACTCCATCATAATAAACTCATTAGGGCCCTTGCCATAAATGCTTTTCTAAAATCTTGCACAATTATGAGTAAGCTTCGAAAAGTACATGTTATGCATGATTCATCTTGTATATATCAAGACAAAATATTTCTCTTTGACTAAATCTTGATATGGCTCGAAATTAAGCTTAAAATGATTCATTTATTACTTAAAAATACTTAGAAAATTTTTTTTATAAAAATAAATAAAGATAATAAATGGAATTCATAACTTGTAAACTTCTCCAATCTATAGTCAATGCTTAGAAATGGCCATCATGTGATCCTAATATGATTTCCATTATAAAATTCGTGACTTAATCAAAAATATAGAATTTACGGAACCGAATTCGGATTTAAAACGAACGTTTACCGTAAAATCAAAAATTTTTTATTTCTCTCTTTTGCTTTCTGCATTTTTCCTTTTATGTGGAAAATTTTTATTCTTATCATGTCTCATCTTATAATAACATGTCATATGATATGTATATCAATATCAAGTAATTTCATGAGAAATAATATGGTTTAAATTAACACTTTATTTTTTTTTATAAAAAATAAAACAATATCACTTACGACTTTTTACCATTTAATTTAAAATTGTGTTGATTTTCTCTTTGAAAATCCATGCTAAAGTTCATCTTGATGTCTACTAATATATATATATATATATAGAATTTTTTTTTTTTTTCAAACTGAAATTGGACTTAAATTTCGACTACAATCGAAAGCCGATAAAACTCTAATATTTCAAATATAAGTTCGAATATACTCTTAATAATTTAAATAGACTTTCTTGTCTAAATAACTTATATATTTACATAAATTTAATCCTTATAACTTATCAATTATATTAATTCACATAAAAATTCTTAAGCAATTAATAGCTTTTTTAATCGACTAACTGGATTTTTTTATGAAAAACGCTTCCGATTTCACTTTAGTGTCGAGAAAAGTGAATCGGTTCTATTTATTAATGGAACGGGACGTTACACAGAGTATATAAAGCGAAAAAATCGACGATAGTGTCCATTTGTCATCTCTTTTCCACCGCTCTGAAACTTTCTAATCTCCACGCTCTAGGATCTTCCATGAATCAATTTTTCTTTTTCTTTTTTTCAATTTCAAAAAGGAGCTTTGCATATTTTTTTCAATTTCTGGAATTACTTTTAATTTTTCAATCCGATGTCGGATTCTTTCGTATGTTGATTATTATTTAATTTTCTTGTTCGAATTGTTTTAAGTTGAGTTCGTTTTTGAACAAAATACAAAGTCGATTTTTGTTCGAAAATTCGTCATTTTACATCATATTGGATACCCAGAACCAATTTTTTTCTGTGAGATCAGAAAATTTGTTCCTGAGAAGTCGAGTTTTGTTAAAAGAATTTCCCTTCATGTATAGATTCTGCATCGTCTATTTTTATTAGTCGCTGGTAATTTTGGTTATCAACAATTTCAAAATCGATGTCGGATAATCTACAAAAAACCGATTTGCACGAATATAAATATTTTTGTGTATTAATCATTTTTTGACATTGACCACAAAAAATGTTAACCGTAAATCGTTCATATTCGTTTTCTGTAAAGGACAGTTAAAGAGTATATTGAAAATCATACTTAAGGTGATGTGTATTTTTGTAAGATTGTAAGTTTGAACCATCAAAGTTCAAATTGTTTATATGCAAAATATTTTGTTAATCATTGCATTTTTCGAACAGATCTAATAGCATATAGGAGTCTTATGGTAGAGACTATAGATACAGTCCCGTTATAACTTGCCATATATACCGTCAGCAACAGAACAAAAACTGGCTTCTCAGTACAAAATGGCTCCAACTTGAACCGCTCGAGAATCGAGGCTACCACATACTTCATCTGAACAAACGCTATCTCCTTGTCGAGGCACACCCTGGTCCCCACCTGGAAAACCGGGTGCTCGTAGGGGCTCACCGGCCCCTCCCAATCCAGCCACCTGTCCGGCCTGAATTCCAAGCCTGCCATGGCCGATGGCGAGCTCTGCACGGCAGGCTTCAATACGTGTAGAAGACTGGTTTCATGTTGGTCTCAGCGTTTGCTCCTCGTCTGTCGCAAGCCGCCGTAAAAAAACTGAGCAGCTTCTTGCCGTGGACGCCATCAATAAAAGGAAAAGGAAAAACGTGATTTTTTTTTCAAAAGATAATGAAGAGTTTTAATTATATAGATGTTAAGATAAGTTGGAATATATCCAAAAACATCTCCAAATTTGTTACTTAAAAAATTGTGATTCCTATGATTTCATAATTGAGAAAATTCGGTAGTTTCCTGAATAATTAGAAAGAAAATACGGCCAAATTGTTTATACTGGAATGATTCTATTATTCTTTTTTTCTTTTGCCTGATTCTATTTTGGAATAATTTAAAATAAAAAGAAAATCAAAAAAAATAATTTTTAGATTTTTTTAATTGCTTTCCACAAATGGGAAGTCAATAGTGTTGTTGACCAGTTTTTTAAAAGTTTGCACAAATAATTTATTAAACTCTCTTTTCAATATATATACATATATAGATTTCCTTAAAAAGCTTTCTCCTTTTCAACTCTTAAATTTGCTAAACACCCTCGGCATGAAATACAAGCGTTCCAGTAATTCACGACATTGATATATCGGTGAACAAACTATTTCACGTTTTTCGATAGATATATCCAAAAGCAAGTCTAGAAAAAAAACACAAGTAGAGTAATTACTAATGGGTGTTGTTATTCACCGCCCCCCATTTTACTAGTCACCGCCCCCCTTGGACAATTTTGCCCTTCTCATTTTTTCTAAACATCTCAGAGGAAAGTGTACGGTGAAATGTCGTCAAATTCGGAGGTACGAAAAAATACGTGTACGGTCGCCGGTTCCGGACGGGCTAAAAGCCGTCCGGACGCCGGAACCGGACGGACTAAAAGCCGTCCGGACCGGCCGGCCGGACGACAAGTAATACCGGCCGGAAAGCACGGCCGGACGGACCGTTGCTGTCCGGACCGGCCGGCCGGACGGCAAGAAAGCCGTCCGGAAACGACGGCCGGTCGGAACCGGTCCGTCCGGTTCGGCCGGCCGGCCGGATTTTTTTTTTTTTTTTTTTTTTTTTT